CAAACACATTCTCGACTTGCCTCATAAATTGGTATTTCTACATGGTTGGAATATTTAGTAGCTATAGTCTACTTCATAGAACGTCATGATGTAGCTATACCACTAAATGTAAATACATAACCTGTTTGTGATCAAGTTTTATATGGATCAAATCAATAACTTGTATTTGTATAATCAATTAAACTCGACTTTAATTTATTTGAGTAAAATAAATACCTTATCAATTTTTTTCTCAAAGATAATAAAAGAAAATTTTAGTTCTATTTTAATGTCTCCATATCGGAGCGTAACTATGACTTGTTAATAAATTTATAGAAAAGACTATATCGGGTCTAATACTATGAGTAAGATATATCAATGCACCGGTGGCACAAGATATGGTACTTCGAACCAAATAATTCTTTGTTATCTTTTCAAATTCGAAAAAGGATCTTTTTGGATATCAAGTAAACAAACTACCATTGAGCTAATCAATAGATGAACTTTATATAGAATCATTGTAGAACTTTTTCTATATAAATTCACCGAGAAATAAAAATCTTGTTTTGTAAGTGCTCGAACTACGGGTCGAGATAAAAGTTTATTTTTCAATTTATTTCATATCAAATTTTCCTTTTAGATAACTTATGGCATTTGAAATCTCTTCAAGAGTTCTAATAATATTTAAATCATTAACATATATAGCAACTATCACAAACCTCTTTTCAAATTTCTTTATAAAAATACATGAATAAATATGATTATTTTTATAATCTTCTTTCAATAAATATTTATTGAAGCAATTATACCACATGGAACCAGGTTAGTAATAAAGAGTAGATATTGAAAAAAAAATATAGCATAAATTGAATTTCTAAAAACTAATATAATAAAATGAATACTAAAACAATCTTGATAGAGATCTCTATAATTTAATTGAATTAATTTATTGAGAATATACATTACATGCTTCGAGCATCCTAAGTCCTTCTAGGACTTTCATATAGATATCATTTTTAACTTAAAAAATAAGTCGTGATCACATTCATTAAATGCAAGCATATGAATTCTTTGTATATATTTTGCCAGAGCTAATGAGATAACAAAATATAATTGTATCTATTATAGGAGAATATGTCTCTTCATGATCAATGTCAATTCTTTACGAAAACTCTTATGTTAAAAGTCTTGCTTTGTATCTTACAATCTCATCTTTCTTATTTCGTTTTCGCATAAAGACACATCTATATCCAACTAGCTTAACATCTTCAAGTGTTTTAATTATGAGTTCAAAAATTACTCATTTATAAGAGAACATACTTCTACTTAGATTACTCCTTTCATTTGGACCAATCATCTTTATATCGATATTCTTCAATAAATTTAAGCTCAAGATCTTTATTTTCATTCAAGATAGCAATTGAAACATTATATGCAAAAATCTTATCAATAAATGTTTCTTTTCGGTTCTATTTTCTCCTTTTATTGACATAATTTATCAAAATCTCTTGATTTTTCTCAAACATTTGGACTTCTTCTAGAAGCCTATTATAAAAAATATCATGGACCATTTTTGTAAATACTTGCATCCTTTATATTTTTTTCTTGATTATTTGCTCTTTTCTTTTGGAATTTTTATCTTTAGAATCCATCGATCTTTCACGCTTTAAGCATGTTTTAGATTCATTTGTTATAACATTAATAGATTGTCCTTCTAGGACATCAATTCTAATAAGAGCATTCCCAGTAGGAACATGCATTTTAGTTACTCGTTTAAGATCTAAGAATGCATATGATAGTTGATTTGCAGTACCTTATAAATGAATTATCTTTTGAACTTCTAGTTCATATTATTTTGTTCGAGGATCGGGATGATATAGGATAAAGTATTCCATGTAATATTTTTTTCAACATTTCCAACTCGCGTATTTTACTTATTCTCTCCCCCTAATGTTGGAAAAATTATTTAATCAAAATGACAATCGATAAATCGAGTCGTAAAAATATATTTTGTTCATGAATCAAGATATGCAATTATCAAAAAGGATTCAAATCCAACATATATTCTTAATCTCCTTTAATTTCCCATTTTAGTTTGTTGTGGAGGAGCACTATGGATATATACCACACAACAAAAAATTCTTAGATGAGAAATATTTGGCTCATGACCACAAACAAATTGAAGGGGGAGAATTTTTGATAACTTATGGGTCCGATGCTTTTTGTCGCATGTCCCCAAACATAAACAAGGAGTTTTGTTTTTACAAATAATTTTTTAGTTATCGATTGAAACCTTTTGATAAATAACTCGCTAAACCTTTTTGAGTATAAATATAAGCAACAGTGCTATTCAATCTTTATTCTAATAGCCAGATCAATAATTATTTAATGCTTGAGAAATAAATTTGCCGACATTCGAAGGTGACTTGTTTTAATGGTATAATTTGAAAATTATGCTCGAAATCAAATTATATGCTAGGAATCTTGAAAACTCCAAGTTTTGAGTAGATAATAAACATATATGTGAGCATCTTGTGGATGCATTTATTAAAATCATAAAATATATATATGGTCAACATGGTAGATGAATTGATCCACATATATCACCTTGAATATGCAGAACATAAAAATTGAAGAATCTTCTTGCTCTTCAATAGATGTCCACATGAATTTATAATAATTTTTTTTGCATCATGAAAGATCCAGGATAACACAATCGATCATGCAACATAATAAAAGTATTTGAATTAGTAAACTTCGATTTACTACAGTATTTGTTTCAATCATTCCAATGTTTGTAATAAAGATCAAAAGAAAAAAAGGATAAATTTTTTAATATATAGTTTCTACTCGATATAATAATTATAATATATAAGTATTCAATATTTTTCACATTTGTTATCTTCATATCATATCAATTTAGGTGAATATCTTTAGAACTCAACAAATTTATATGTGACTTTAGAGAGAATAATATATCATTTATAATAAAATTTGTCCTTTCGTATAATAAAATATTTGCTCTTCTAGAGCCCTTAAATTATATCACCGCAAGTAATAATATATTCACTCTTATAGAGTTTTTAAATATTGTCTCTTCAAGTAATAATATATTCGCTCTTTTAGAGCATAAAAAAATTAATCTCTTCTAGCCTTCAAAATTTGTTTCTTTAGGTACTAATATAGTCACTCTTCTAGAGCTTTCTATTAGATTGATATTACCATATATAATATTAACATAAAATAAATAATGAAATAAATATATATTTTTTTAGAAACATAAATAAATAAATAAATAGTAAAATAAATTTATATTTATTTCTATGAAATATAAATTATAAGAAAATATAAACATCTTATTTATAAATAAAAAAGCTAACAAGTTATTAATTTCAATTATCACCATTTTGATATATAAAATTGACCTCTAGATTTTACTCTTTCTTTTTAACACGAGGCCCGATAAGAGTCAATGAGGTGCTTTAGAGTACGACGTGTACGCAACCAATGTCTATTCATGCCACATCTATAACATTCATTTTCGAATGCTCGATTTGATCCATTTTTCTTATATATATAGCTTATCCACTTTTGATGGTGAGATATATTATCATGGTCATCATGATTATAATGATAATTATTTTGACCGTGTCCATGGCTATGATTATATCTTTGTTTATGTCTAAAATTATTATTAGTTATCACATTCACTTCGGGGAATGGAGTAGATCCAATTGGACGAGATTTAATCTTTTTCATCAATAACTTTTCATTTTATTTGGCCACAAACAAGTATGAAATCGATTCAAAATATTTCTTAAATTCTTTGTCTTGATATGCTACTCGCATAAGCATATTCAAGACATGAAAAGTAGATGATATTAACTCAGCATCAAGCATTGATGATCAATAATTCTTGCTCAAAATGTCAAAGGTCACAAAATCAAGTTTTGTGATGGTTGATATCATAAAAATTTTATAATGCAAAGTATAATAATAATAATATTAGGAACTAAAAAATTAATAATAAAATTTAAATAAAAATAAATATAATAATAAAATTTAAACTTTTCAAACAATATATATTAGATTATTAGATTATATATATTAAATCATTTAAGTTTTTTCAAATGTATATTCTATTTATCATTAGATTTAATCTACATGATAAATTAGATACATATCTCTCAATGATCTAAATTGTTATCACCCAAATTTTTTTCATTATTACTTTTTCTTCAATTTTTATTTTTTTTTGTAAAATACCCAAAAAAAAAATGAAAACAAAAATGAAAAAAAATAAAAAATGGAAAAGAAAAAAATCAATTGGAATAATTAGTTTAAGTTAATTAAAAAGAAAAAGAAAGAGAAAAAGAAAGAGGGAGGGTGGTTAATTAAAGAAATGAAAAGTTTGGAGATAACAAAAAGAGCAATTGAGGTTTCAATAAAGAAAAAACTTATATCCTTTTAATTAAAATAAAAAAAAGGGCACAATTAGGAGAAACAAAAAGAAAGTCTCAATTAATTCAAATGTAGGGGCTCTATAAAATGAAAAAAAAAAACTTGAATTGATTGGTGGTAGAGTATAGAGGACCAAAACAAACTATGTCAAAAACCCTTCATATAAAATCCACTCCATGCATTTTTTATAAGAAACTAATGTTCGTTGTCACCTATAGAACACCTTCGACCGCCTCTCTCCCTTGCACCTATCACTACAACCCACACTCATCCGAAACCCTTCCATAATAGCCCCTCCCCTCACAGACCCCTCCATCTCCTCCTCCTTATAAACACCCACATGCCAACTCCTTTCTTACTCGAACCTCACTACCTAGCTCCAGCCTCCTCTAGCCTTTCGATCCCGCATGCTACAACCCCTCTCTCACACGCCAAACACGTCAAACACCTTCACGATCAGCCCTCGGCACCCAAGGCTCTCTCCCTCACACATACTAGCTTCCACTCTAGCCCTCACACGCCAAGCACAAGCACACCCCACGACCTCCCCTCACCCCACACTAAGCTGGTTCCCATGCCACAAAATCTCCCATTTCGACCTCTTTCCCATACCACAAAACCAACCACTCCAGCCTTGAAACACAACCATCAAAAGTTCCTACACATCCAACCCTCACACTCACGCTCGTAGCTCTTTCTCTCACCCACTCCACTAGCCATCCCCCTCCCACACCAAGAACGCATAGCTTCCTCTCGCCCACCGCCCCACCAGCCTCACCCACACACCAAGCTCCCAACTCCAGCCTACGAGCCTCGCACCTTCTCACCCCTACATTGCCACATCTCTCACACCCACACACCGTCGCCCCTCTCGCCCTACACGTCTAATAGCCTTACTCTATTTAAGTAGCTCCAGCTCCATCTTCAATCATACACATGCCACCTAACCTTAGCATGCAGTGCTCACTCCAACACGACAGTCATACTTGCTACAAGCTAGTGACTCTAGTCATTAAAAAAAAAAGCCACTCTAGCCACCAAAACCCTCACTCCAACCTTTTTCCCACGCCAAAACATCCCAAAAAAAGAAACACACCCGAAACACCCCAAAACCAGATCCAAAATAGCTACCAATAACAGACCTTTACAACCCCGAAATAAACACCAAAAGCCCCTAAAAAGCCCCTTTAGACAACCCTATTAAACCACAAAAATAGCCATTGAAATACACCCAAGAAAGCCTTAAGACAAACCTAAAACATCCCTAAAAAACCCACCAAAATAGCCATAAAACATCCCATAAAACAATTCCCTTGACACTTTTGAGTTACTCGAAAAAAAAGGGAGAAGCAAAAGCAAAAATTAAAAAAAGAAAAGACTAAAAAATTTTTTTGGTGTTGGATTGTGTTGGCGGGAACAACATGATGTTGTAGACTACATTTGCTTGATTTTTGATAGGAAAGTAAGCAACAAAAGTCACCTGGAGCTTTTAGGAACTCTACAACTCTACGAGTAGTAACTTTGTAAATTTTGTAGTAACTTTGGAGTATTCACCGAGTAATGAAGGAGTTTTTAGCTACTCTAGCGGTACTCACATCACTCATTGCTCACTAGAAATTACTCTCCTTTCCTAACTAATCTAATAATCAATTATCATCGGAAACGAAGAGGGTAAGACCGACTCTAAATCGAAAATCAACATTTCGGGACTCTTGGGTAAAAATCTTAAAACCATGGCACTTTCGAAAATATGATAAAGGTTATAAATGACTAGTGTGTTTGGAATGTGATTAAAATTGTGATATTCGACTTCAAATTTATGGATTAAATGTGCTTAAAAATAAAATATTACTATAATGATCGATAAAATATATCATTTTCCTTTTATTAAGCCTACCTATTTAAATGCATTGTTTGTGCTATTTTATGGTGTAATTGACTTTTCATGGTTGGTTACAATGATAAAATGAAGCTACCGAGTGGCTTTCCACCTATGTGACGAAGTCATCAATGGTTTCAAAATCATTTTGTCTCGTTTTTGATTCCCGATTCCTTTTTTCCTTATTTTTGTTTCTTATTTCATCAAAACGAAGCCGCCAGAGTGGCTTTCTACTTATGTGACAAAGCCATCGGTGGCTTTAAAATTATTTTATTTAATTTTTATTTGTTTGAAATGAGGTCGCCAATGGCCTCCCACTCATGTAACGAAGTCGCCGATGGCTTCTAAATAGTTATCTTCCCCTTACTTGGACTAAATAAAGTGATCGATAACTTTCAACTTGTGTGATAAGGTTATCGTTAGCTTTAAATTTATGACTCAAAGTTGTCGGTGGCTTCCTACTTGTGTGAGCGAAGTCGTCGACGACTCGCTATTTATGCCAATAAAAGGCTATTCATCTTTATAAACTCACCTATTGGTTGATGATAGCTCATGCTCACTAATGATTAGCTAAAATTATAATTTTCTCCATTTTTCCCCTTTAGGTAGGGAGTATTGGCCTTAAATCGACTCGAACGCCTAAACTATCCTATTTATACCCAAACCATCCTGTCTTGTATTTTTATAAAATAATTTCATTTAAATAAGCATAGAAGTATAACACGATAAAGACTAGATTTTTATATTCATAGGCAAACAATGCAACCTACCTTAGGTGGGATAGGATGGCGATGATGTCACATCTTTCTCATACGTAATCGACCCCTTACCCGGATATATAGATAAACCAAGTATGTTTAAGGTTTCTTAGTTCCCCCTAATTAGCTAGGTGGTGGCTCCTTATTCCAGCCCCTCCTCGTGATGATTGACGTTGATAGAATTTATGACTTCGTTAGGGATGTACCATGCTAGGGTCAAGCTTTGAATGTCCGTGTTTTGTATCTCCGATCATTTGTTATGCCTCTATGCCTATTTGTTTTTTTTAATGAGTAATTTCCATTTGTTTGTTTGTCTATTTTTCCTTTTTATGGCAAAAATGTATCCGTATATATATGTGATGTTTGTGTTGTTTTTCTCTATAGCTTTAGTTTTCATATTTTTAGCCTTTTATTTAGTATTTTAAGATTAGATATAGAATTATGCCCCATACACTACACCGCATAATTATAATTATCATTTGCATTTACCTCGGGATCTAGGGAGTTAGTAGTGGTGCCCCAATGAGATTCGCCCTAGGTAAACACCTATGAAACCTTAAGAATTCTTGCTAGTTGCCATTGGTGATGGGTAATCGATGATTTTTCAAGATTGTTAATATCACAGTGGATAGTCCTAATGATTCTACTAAAGACTCATTAGGTTGAAAGGTATCATTTTGAGACCTAGATAGAGCCTACCTCATTATATAACAGCTAGAACCGAGACTTTAGAACCATTTTCCTTGTTTAAATACACTAGGTAAGTCAAACATGTTTGAAACCTTGACTAAAATAATTTGGTTACAATATTTTAAGATGGGTGATAAAAGAGTTTAAAGTCAGTTCAAAAAAACACCAACTAAAGCATAAAGAGGTTACCGATGTGAATAATCATATCATTAAACTTACTACAGGAAATCTCATGGGTGAAGAAACAAAAAGAAAGAACTCTTTGTCACCCTCCGTAGATGACTACTCTATATCTAGTCAAGTGTCTTTATCACGTGTCAATATAATTTATGTTATTATATTTGGCTATTTTATATAGAGATGCATAAGTCATTCTATCAAAATTGTGTTTTCCTCCAAGAGTTAGCAACTCAAGTCAATGCAAGAACAAATAATGTAGAAAGGGTTGGACTTGAACAAAGCTATCGGACGGAGTTAAGTGCTTCAAAAGCGAAATGTCTAGGCTAGTTGCTTTACTTGGGCAAAGGTTAGAAACCAGGTGCATCTACCGAAATGCCTTATAGTCGAGAAATGGATCAACCATCTACTATCTCTAAGGTGTTCATCGCCATACCGATATCCACTACTCAAGTGGTTATTTTTGTGCCTCCTTTTTTACTCCCCACCAAGAGGCTATCGGCATTGTGAATCTAACCGGTCCCACTACACTTAGGGGTATGTATGAGCCAACCCATCTCGAAGTTTCTAGCTCGATTTCATGACGACTACATACTTTACAAATATAGGCAACTTCTATGGTTAATTTGACTACCAATGAAAAGTTGAAAGAAAAAATGAGCTCGGAGAGTGAAACCGAGAAGCTTAGTGCCATTGAAGAGCATCTTAGAGCCATCGAGGATGTAGGTATGAATAACCCTCCTTTTAATAAAAGATAGATACTTGATTTTGAATACCATGATTCATGAAAAGTGCTAGAACTATCCGAGTTGTAATATCAAAGATTATCTTGGCTTCTCCAACCATGCGATTATCAGTTGATGGAATATGTTGTCATTGAATGATACTAGGGGTGACAACAAAATGATAGTTCCGAAATTTCCATATTTGATTTATTTGACATGTTATCTCGCTATCGGTATTAACAAGAAACCATCCCAATCTCAAGGTCCTATTCATGTCGGATCCTTCTACAAGTTCCTTAAAAAAGTGGACATGACATTGATGATTGCCATGAATTTCATCAAAATGTACAAGCGATGCTAGTTCTAGGCACCTCGAGAGTAGAAGATGGATCAAAAGATATTAGAGAAGTCTTCCTATGTTGTCGATTTACGTAGCAAAGACCTAAGTTTGAGCCAACCATCTCATGTCATGGTAGTGAATATTTGGGGGCAAAGAAAGCCGTTGCTAAGAAAGAAGTCATACAATCTAGATCGGTGCTTGATAGTCCAAAAATGATGATGCTTTCTCGCCAACATATTTAAGAATGTTCTTGATGTCGATCGGCTTATCTTTGAGACAATGCTGGGGAAGGAATTGAATGATTGGTCCGATGAAGACGCTCTTTTTGTTCCCAAGGTCAAGTAACTTCCTTATTGCATTTATCTATCATGCTTTCGGATGATGTCAATTTGCGAGATCTTGTAAATTTTCTTCTCAAACTCGCCACCTTTGCCTTCTTTTTTCTATTATGTTTTATTCTTATTTTCACCCTATCTTTGAGATATTTAGTATGATCATATCTCAAAAATAAAAACACCAAGCAATTATGCTAAAAAAAAGAAGAAAAAAAGAGGGTCGATCTAAATTTGGTTATAATATGCATAAGAATACCCAAAGCTCGTCAAAGAAGCATGAATGTGTCTTGGTTTTGTGAATGAAATCTTACCTTCTATAGAATTTTGGATTTCATTTGCAATAGTGTTGTGATTTTGATGGATTGGATCATTTCTTTAAAAAGAAATTCCTAATATCTTGGTATGATCTTATTATTGATTTGAAATCAAGAGATGTTTATTTGAAAGTATCACTATCATTTTATATCATCTAAACCAAACGCAAATGAAAGGAAAAACTCATTCAAAATCATTCAACATTAATCAACTTTCAAAGCATGTCATGCAAATACTAAGGGCGAGTCCCTCTCTTTTTGAAACAGAAACCATTCCTCTCCTATTCCTAATAAATCCTTCCAAGATAGTCTTGTCTAAGATGATACATCAAAGCCAAAAAAAAAAAAAAAAAAACCTAAAACCAAAAAAATCCAAAAATAAAAACAAGAAAATGATTTGATGTCTTAAATGATGATGAGTGGTACGCATTTGGATCATGATCCCACCTTATCCTCTTTCTTCTCTAGAAGTCAATCATAGTTTTTAAATGAAATTAGAGCTCATCAGCTTGAACAAGATCATACTTTGCATGAAGAAATGCCATTTTTGGTATACTTTTCCATAAACAAACAAAAAACTTATCACCCACTATCCAACTTTGGGCCTAAAGAATTCTTTTCGACAATGACCTATATTAGTATCACCCCTCACATTGGGTCAATTTTGAAGTTCATTAGTAATCAAGGACATTCTCCTAGAAAAAATAGATGAGAAAGGATGATGATTATTCATAAAAA